AACACAAGTTATGATTTCGGGGTAGATCAAGCTTGTACTCAATACACAACCATCAATACAATCCAAGCATGACGTAGGGTATTAGCTCTTCAAGAGGGCCCGAACCTGGGTAAATACTGTCTCCTTCGTCCCTTGTTACCCACTGATCTGAGATCCACAGCTTGGGACCCCCTACCCCGAGGTCTGCTGGATTTACCACCGACAACATTGGACATGGTTTTCTTGCATTTTATCAACAGCTTTTTAACATTATCGATGGGTTTAGCCATTATAGTTCCTCCTGCATCAGTATCAATCATAGTTTTTATATAGGATTTAAGGCTAAAACATATGAAGAATTAACCATTCTTCCATTCCATGATTAGGACAATTCATTGTAGCCTCGTTCATGTGATCCCACGCAAGCACTAGTGGCTCATGATCTTCTTATTTAAAACTTGTTATCTGCGAATAAAGTTGCATAATTTTTGCAGGTAGGAAAAACTTTGATATAAACTTACTACAACAACGAGTCCATGAAGTTACATTACCTCAAGGGAAAGTTAGAAGCCATTCTTTTGCTTTTCCTATCAAGGAGAAAGGAAATAGACGCAACTTCCAAGCATCGGGATCATAATCCTTAATGGGTGTGATGTTACTCAATTAAGAAAAAATTATGCAAATGCATACCGACATGCTCAAAAGGAGAGCCTCCAAATTGGTCATGTTGAACCATAGAGACTAGGTTCGGTTTTATCTCATACTCGGTGGCAACAACATCAGGTTGTGCAATTGGTTTACGCATTAAACTATTGCTAGGAGTAGCAAAGCTTCCAAGCTTACGAGCCATGGTAATCTTTTTCGATTTTCTACTGACAAGATTTGCAAAAATAATTAACTAAAAACTAGAACAAAACTCTAACAAAAACTCTAAACACAAAGAGTAGGCACACAAATCCTCCCCGACAACGACGCCGGAAAAAAGGTTTGGTTAGTCCCTTTAGTGATCCAGTAAAGGAGGAGAAAGGATTCTTGCCTTTTTTTCCCAGAGGTGACCCTGAGTTATCGAACCCCCTGAGAGGACGGTGACCTTTAAGCAATGGTTTCTAACAAGTTTTTGCGAGAGAATTAAATTCCAAATTTTGACCGGATCAAAATCATGTTGACACTAAAAACACTTATAATAAAAATAGGCATGGCTATGAGGTCTTATGCTTACAACCATATATTTGCGGCGGGATCATTATGATCTTAATTTGTGCCCTGCAAGTTATCCATTGAGATGTGCTTGCTACGTACCAAAGTAGGGATGTGTCCAAATTATGTTTTTACCGACAGCGTCCTGCATCAAGAGTTTGTTGTCCAACCGAAGGCTCTATTCATCACGCGGGGTTGCCCTGATAATTGTGACAGCAATAACCGAACAAAAGCATTGGGTGTTTAATGACTACACCTCTTGAATTGCCAGAGAAAGGATCCGTGTTACCATACTAAACATATATGTCACTTGTGTTCAGAATAACACATCAGGGTCTCCCTGCCCTTAGCCTCCTCATGACTCACTCTCCATGATCCTGAGTACCTATAGGGATGAAGAACGCGAACGAGACAAGAGACAACTACAGAGCAAATTTATGCTACACATACGAGATGTTAAATCAAAGTATTTCCATTGATCTCTCCAACAAATACACTGGGTTGCAAGGCCTTGCCTCAACCCATGACTTTACCGAACTACTCAGACATGGAGATCAGATCACATGAAGAACTCATTGAAGAACACATCATGAAGATTGATTGGTAATATGTCTTACAATAGATGTCAGATGTGATACACGATTACAAGTATGGCTAGATGGCTGAGAGCTATGGTGGTGATGAAGGTGGTTTCTATGGAGATGTCGGTGGGAAATGGCGGCGGCTAGGGTTGATGGAGATGACTTCTGCGAAGATGATGATGTGGCGGCTTGTTCTGATGCTCATTTGGCGTCAAACCTTTAATAAAGGTTCTTCAGGTGGATCATACACCTCGGTTGGCATGCCATACGACCATCCATATGAGTCGGGATGGTCATATGGAACACCGTGTTTTGACTGGAACCTCTGCCGCGCCTCCCACATGATCTCCTATATCTCCACTTTACTCCTTTCCAAGTATTCGCTTGATTTCGTCCATAAATAGCCCATTTCTCGTCGAAACTTAATAAAGATCGGATATCTGGAATCATTTCCATTCATTAGTCATTAGTAGCAATATCGGAGCGAATACCTCGGTTTTACTTAAATATATCAGTAAACTCCAGTAAGAGGAGTGTAAAAATAATACTCATCATTATTTGAGACAAATTAGCGCAAAATTGTTAGTCTTTTGTTGGACTCTGAATCATGGTGGTTGAGGATGCCACAATTGTGGTAGTTTTTTGCTATTTACTCGTTTTGCTTGCCAATGAATTGGCCATCATTGGTAGTGGAGCATTGCCATGCCAAAAAATTGGCAATCATCCAAACAAAGACCAATGTTTTGGCCATGACCAAAAAATTGGCAAGGTAGACATTGGTGACAATCAAAACACACTCGAAGTGACCAGTAACTGAAATGGTCGCGTAAGGGAAATCCCCGTCTATTGATGCACTCTATCCAAGTACCTGCTGACCACAGAAACATGGTACAAACTTTTCTCACCACTCATCTCGGACCATAGTCGGCACTTGAATGGACTTTTTTTGTTTCATAAGTGGTTTTGATGTTAATGACATGAAATGTTTGAATGCAAGAAGCATGGT